GGAAGCAAGGAAGGAATTTTGTATTCACTAATAGGCATCCCTCCATTCCCCCCCCCATCCCCACACAACCATTAATCTTTCTGTCTCTGTGGGTTTGCCTATTCTGGATCTGCCATACACGTGTGGAACCATACCATATGTGACCCTTTATGATGACTACCTTGCATATTGCATGTTTTCAAAGTACTGGGTAATCTCATCATTCCTTTCCATGACTGAATACTTTGTATCAAAGTCTTACAATATTTTCATTCACCAAGTCATTTGTTGAACATTTGTTTATTGTAAACAATAATGCTATGACTATCCACGTACATGCATAGCTTTTCATGTATTTTAATTCAATTACATTAATATCTAGGAATACATTTTCTGGGTCATATGATAATTTTATCCTTAATATTTGAAGGAAATGCCATACTTCTTTTTCCCCTCAAAGACTACTTGGTGTTGTATCCCTACCGTAAGTATGGTGTTTCAGTGTCTCCTTAACCTGCCAACTGATACTCATAGAGGATAATTGGCTTAATGAACAGTTGGTTGATCCAAAAGAGACCTCGGCTAATTACTGCACTCTTACTGGTAGCATTACAGGCTACTGGTCATAATGTAATGAGTTGTTGTGCAGTAACATTCTACCAGCAAAGCAATTTACTGGTAGGAAACTAGAATCTTTGTGTTGGCTGCTTGACTAGCTGAGTAGCACCTTGACAGAGGACTTGCTAGCAAGTGACTGGACTGGAAAATGTACATTGGAAAGATTTTCCAGTCTGCAAAACAGGCCAAAACTCATATGCCTTTGTCCATTGGTAGAAATGGTACTTCCCTTGTATGTCTGTTTTGATATGTTAAATGGGTTCTAACCATTGAAAATGCTGATTACTGATTAATTGTTCAAAGCTGTTAATGGTTAAATGAGCAGCCAGAGTGGTAACTGCATTTGTAGTCAAAATAAATCTAAGTGGAGGCAATCAGAGTAAATCTAAGTAGTATCAACAGTAATGGTAACATTACTGAATGCACATTCAGTGTCCAGGCATCCTACTAAGGCCCTCTGTGTGCTAACTTACCCTCCCTTTATCTACCATATATTATTATTATCCTGATTTCCTCATGAGGAAATGGATAACTAAGTAACCTCTCTAAGACCATCAAACTAATAAGTGGTAGACTCAAAATTGAAACCCAGATGTATCTAATTCCAAAGACTGGGTTCCCTAGTAATTAGATTTTAATCTGTTAAAGACTTTTTCTCTAGGGATCTTAGAGATTTGTAGCTCTAGAACAAGGGGATTCAGATTGCCTTTCTGATTAAACCAAAATAGGAATTGAAAGACTAACAGAACTTGGGGAGTTCTGTGCTGCTTTTAATATAAGCAAGATAAAATTAGAATAATGACAGACTTTCCAGAAAATCATGGGCATAAATATACTAAAGCAGTAGTAAGGAAATTTCAAATATACCTCATCTCTTGAATTATATGTGTGCTTACCTCTTGTAGAAAATTCAAATGACTAGTCTTTTAATTAAAGTAGTTTAGGGGCTGGGACTGTGGCTTAGCGATAAAGTGCTTGCCTAGCATGCATGAAGCCCTGGATTTGATTCCCTAGTACCACATAAACAGAAAAAGCCATAAGTGGTGCTGTGGCTCAAGTGATAGAGTACTAGCCTTGAGCAAAAGAAGCTAAGGTACAGTGAGTGCCCAGGACCTGAGTTCAAGCCCCAGGACTGGCAAAAAAAAAAAAGTTAAAGTAGTTTTACTGAATGGAGGGAACTGATAAAAGAGTATGTTCAGAAATTTCCAGCCTTATTAAGTTATGGCTATCAGTAAATATACAAATTGCCAGACCTGGTGATACACAGGTTAAATGAGCAGCCAGAGTGGTGACGAAGGCATTTCATAGTGTTTGCAGTCAAAGTAACTCCAGGAGGCTAAAGCAGGAAGATTGCTGGAGTGAGGCCAGCCTGATACATATAACAAGAGCCTTCTCATAAAACAAAAGCACCCAACAACAAAAACTTGAATATAGGTGGGCACTGGTGGCCTATGCCTATAATCCTAGCTACTCAGGAGGCTGAGATCTGAGGATCGCAGGCAGGAAAGTCCGTGCTCTTATCTCCAATTAACCACCAGAAAACCAGAAGTGGCACTATAGCGCAAGTGGTAGAATGCTCGCCTTGGGCTGAAGAGCTCAGTGTCAGTGTCCAGGCCCAGAGTTCAAACCCCACGGCCAGGAAAAACAAAACAAAAAAAAATAGCTTGAATATATTTGTGGTATAGAGTGTGATGCTTTGATGCCTGTATATACTGTGTACTGATTGCTCAGGTAATTTGCCTATCACATACTTATTTTGTGTGGGAGTAGTGAGAACACTTAAGATCTATTCTTTTAGCAGTTTCCAAGCACATATTATTAGCCGTAGCCACCATGCAGTACAATAGACCTCTGGTACTTTTTCAATACAGTGAACTGAAACTTGTGTCCTCTGACTCCCCACCCCCCACCTCCCACCTAATTACCCCACCATTCCCAGTCCCCAGTGTCTGTCACCAACTGTCCTACTCCTTGCTTCTACAGGTTTGACTTTTTTTGGGGGGGGGGTCCGGTCGTGGGGCCTGAACTCTGGGCCTGGGTGCTGTCCCTCAGCTCTTCAGCTCCAGGCTAGCACTCTACCACTTGAGTCACAGCGCCACTTCCGGCTTTTTTCTTTTTGCTTATGTGGTGCTGAGGAATCGAACCCAGGGCCTCAGGCATGCAAGGCAAGCACTCTACCACCTTCCCAGCCCCAGGTTTGACTTTTTTTAATTCCACATATACAAAGACCCAGGTAGCATTTGTCTTATTTGTGCCTGGCTTATTTAACTTAGTCATATGTCTTCCAAGTTCATCTATGTATGGCAAGTGTTAGAATAACCTTCTTCTGTAAGCTGAATAGCTTGCACTGTGTGTTTATATTTACCACATTTTCTTTATCCACCCATCAGCTGATGGTCACTGAAGGATAAAGTTTAACATGGGGCTTGGCAAAGATTTTGTTTTGGCTATGACCTCCCAAAGCATAGGTAACAGTAACAAAAAATATTAAGTGGTTTTATATCAAGCTTTAAAGCTTCTTTCTGCTTGGCAAAGGAACAATCAATATAATTCAGAATTTAGGAGTTGGGAGAAAATATTTTCAAATTATATCAAGTAAGAAACTAATATCCAAAAAATGTGGAACTCAATAACAACAAAACAACCTGATTTAAAAATGGGCATAATATGGGGCTGGGAAGGTGGCTCAGTGGTAGAGCGCTTGCCTTGCAAGCATGAGGCCCTGGGTTCGATTCCTCAGCACCACATAAGCAAAAAGAAAAAAGCTGGAAGTGGTGCTGTGGCTCAAGTGGTAGAGCGCTAAGCCTTGAGCTGAAGAGCTGAGGGACAGCGCCCAGGCCCATAGTTCAGGCCCCATGACCGGACCCAAAAAAAAACCAAACAAACAAATAAAAATGGGCATAATACCCAAATTGACATTTGTGAAAAAAAGACATATAAAAAGCCAATAGGCAGCTGGGCACAGGTGACTCACACCTGTAAACCTAGCTACTCAGGAGGCTGAGATCTGAGGATTGCAGCTCAAAGCCAGCCCAGGCAAGAAAGTCCGTGAGACTCTTATCTCCAATAAAACCACCAGAAAACTGAAAGTGGTTCTGTGGCTCAAGTGATAGAGCACTAACCTTGAGCTAAAGAACTGAGGGACAGCACCCAGAGTTCAAGCCCCATGACCAACAGCAAAAAAAAAAAAAAGCCAATAGACATACATATTTTTAAAACTTCATCTTCACTAATGATTAGAGAAATGCAAAGGAAAACCACAATGAGTTTCATCACTTCAACGAACTATTCACTCCACTGAAAATGGTTATTCTCAAAAAAAATTTGTTGGTGAACATATGGAGAAAAGGACACTTTTGTACACTATTTGTGGAAATGTACATTAGCATTATGGAAAATAGTATGGAGATTCTTCGAAAAATTCAAAATTTACCAAATAATCCAGCAATTCCACTTCTTGGTATATATCTCAGGAATTTAAATTAATATTTTGAAGAGATAGCTGTACTTATGTCTAATTGTGCCACTTTCCAGGATAGTCAACAGTGAACAGATAAAGACAATGAGGTATCATAAATGGTACATAGTGTAATAGTATGGTCTACTGTTTATAATATGCAATGAGGAAGTGGCACTGTGGCTCAAGCGGTAGAGCATTAGCCTTGAGCTGAAGAGCACAGGGACAGTGCCAAGCCCAGAGTTTAAGCTCCACGACCGACAAAACAAAACAAAAATATGCAATAAAATATTACAGCCTTAAAAGGATGTGTTGACTAGTAACTGGAGAAGGATCATCAGGTAGTACAAGGCAAGTGATGAAGAAGGCTAGATTGCTAAATTTTCTTTGTTTATGCCCTCAGACAGACAGATACAGAAATATGCCCCAAATAAATAAGTAAATAAAGTGTTATCCATGCTTCAGTTGCTTTTCATGGATATGAAAAGTGAGAAGATTGTTTATGCTCCTCTGCTTTTGTTCCACAATTTCTTTAGTATTTTTGGTATATAAAAGTTGTTAAATTCTGCTGGGCGCTGGTGGCTCACGCCTATAATCCTAGCTACTCAGGAGGCTGAGATATGAGGATCGCAGTTCAAAGCCAGCCCAGGCAGGAAAGTCCGTGAGACGCTTATCTCCAATAAACCACTAGAAAACCAGAAGTGGTGCTGTGGCTCAAGCGGTATAGTGCTCGCCTTGAGCTGAAGAGCTGAGGGACAGTGCCCAGGCCCAGAGTTCAAGCCCCACGACCAACCAAAAAAAAAAAAGTTGTTAAATTCTATGAACATTACTAACTAGCCATAAATATGAAAGAGTAATTTGTGGTAGGGAAGCTAGCTCCAAAAACATATATATGTGAATAAACACATTCTGACATTATATGTTTCTTTTATAATGTTTGCTTTAGTATCTATTGTCTGGAGAAAAGCTAAAATACCAGCAGCAAGATGAAGTACAACAACTTCGTCAGAATTTACACCGGCTTCAAATTCTTTGCAGCTCAGCTGAAAAAGAGCTTCGGTATGAGCGAGGAAAGAACTCGGACTTAAAGCAACATAATAGCTTACTGCAGGAAGAAAACATTAAGGTAACTCAAGTGGGGACATCCTTTGTCCAGAGATCTCAGCCAGCCCTGGGAATATGTGTATTACAATTCCTTCACATTGGCCAGCCACTGGTGACTCACGCCTGTAATCCTAGCTATTTAGGAGGCTGAGATCTGAGGATCATGGGTCAAAGCCAACCTGGGTAGGAAAGTCTGTGAGACTCCATTTCCAATTAGCTATCAAAATACTGGACTAGAGACATAGCTCAAGTGGTAGAGCACCAGCCCTGAGCGCGCACGCACACACATGCACACACACACACACACACACACACACACAAATTCCTCAATATTATATTTCATCATGGGATTCAAGAATGAGTGGAAAAATTCCTCCTTTAACCTTTTCTGGATAAATACGGACAAAACTCAGTCATTTCTCTTCTGCTTGAGCGTGCATGATATTAGTAAACAGGAAAAAGTTTAAAGTGATGCCATCTATTTAAATCATTATCTTAATTTTTATCACTTACTAAATTTCAGTGACCTAAGCTTCCCTGATTGTCTTGCCCTTGTTGTATATCACTGGATTTATTTATTCTTAACAAATTGGTTCAATCAGTGTCACTATCAGTACAAAGATTCAGTTCATGAGGACAAAGTTGGTTTTCCTAACATAAGCAACATGTTAAAAGGAAATCCCAGGCTGGGAATGTGGCTTAGTGGTAGAGTGCTTGCTTAGCATGCATGGAGTCCTGGGTTCCATTCCTCAGTACCCATAAACTAAAAAAGCCAGAAGTGGCACTGTGGCTCAAATGGTAGAATGCTAGCCTTGAGCAAAAGAAGCTCAGGGATAGTGCCAGGCCCTGAGTTCAAGCCCCAGGACTGGCAAAAACAAAAACAAAGGAAATCCCTCAAACATGTTTGTTTTAAAAAATAATCTAGGGGCTGGGAAGGTGGCTCAGTGGTAGAGCGCTTGCCTTGCATGCATGAGGCCCTGGGTTCGATTCCTCAGCCACGTAAGCCAAAAAAAAAAAAAAGCCGGAAGTGGCACTGTGGCTCAAATGGTAGAGTGCTTGCCTTGAGCTGAAGAGCTGAGGGACAGCGCCCAGACCCAGAGTTCAGGCCCCACAACCGGACCCCCCCCCAAAAAAAAGAATCTAGGTAGAGCTTCCATATACAAATTTTCTGAGCCATAAGGCTCAAAATGAACCATTGCATCAATAGACCTTCGTTTAATTATGGTTCAACTCTCTATATTAGAGACTTAGTTTCTAGAAGTCCCTAAAGGTTCTGGAATTCAACATTTTACAAATAATAACTGAGTAGAAGTTTCCAGATTATATAAACACTTACCTAGGAAAGGTTTCAACCAGATTCCCCACTTAGTCTAAAAGGGGTAAATGCACCCAGGGGGAGGACTGCCATTTTGAGCCTCTTTGCTCCTGTTTCTAGGGTTGCTCTTCTTTCCTTTTTCTTTTCTTTTTTTTTAATGGCCATGGGCCTTGAACTCAGGGCCTGGGCGCTGTCTCTGAGCTCTTTTGTTCAAGGCTTGTGCTTTACTACTTTGGGCCACAGCACCACTTCGTTTTCTGGTGGTTAATTGGAAATAAGAGTCTTGCTGGCTTTGAACTTGGATCCTCAGATCTCAGCCCCCTAAGTAGCTAAGATTACAGGCCTGAGCCACTGGCCTGGCAAGACTTGAAGTTCTTATGGCTTCTCCAGTCATTACTCAAATCTACTTTTATAGTATAAAAGCCATCTGGAAAACATGTAGATAGCCAGGCTCCAGTGGCTCATGCCTATGGTTCAAAGCCAGCCGGGGCAGGAGAGACCATGAGACTTTTATCTCAAATAAACCACTAGAAAACCGGAAGTGCCACTGTGGCTCAAGTGGTAGAGCACTAGCCTTGAACTGAAGATCACAAGGACAGCACCCAAGCCCAGAGTTCAAGCCCCATGACGGACAAAAAAGAAAAAAAATTCATGTCTAAAGTATGTACTACCTGGTACTTTATGAGAGAAGTTTACCTTCACAAATCTATTGAGGGAAATGGTTCTTATTTGAAAAATGACATAAAAACAGAAGAGGAGATGTGGCTTAAGTGGATAGAGTGCTGATCTTGAGTAGAAAAAGCCAAGCAAGAGTGAGGCCCTGAGTTCAAACCCCACTACCAGCAAAAAGAACATGAAGGAAGGAGGAAAGAGGGAGAGGGGGGGAGGGGAAGAGAAAGAGAGGAAAAGGGGGAAGGGAAGGGAAAAGGGAAGGGAAAGGAAGGGAAGAGAAGAGAGGGGAGGGAGAGAGGGAGATAAGGAGGGAGGGAGAGAAGGAGGGAGAGAAAGAGGGAGGGAGGGAGGGAGGGAGGGAGGGAGGGAGGGAAGGAAGGAGAAACTGGGCACTGGTGACTCAGGCCTGTAATCCTAGCTAACTCAGGAGGTAAAGATCTGAGGATTGTGTTTTGAAGCCACTCTGGGCAGGAAAATATGAGACTTTTATTTCCAATTAACTATCAAAAAGCCATAAGTAGACCTGTGACTCAATTGGTAGAGCCTAACCTAGAGCAAGAAAAGCTCAGAGACAGTGCCTAACCCATGTGTTCAAGCCCTAGAGCAGGCAGAGAGAGACAGAGAGACAGACAGAGACAGAGACAGAGACAGAGGCAGAGAGAAAGGTCTTTGGTCATAATCTGTAGGGAAGTATAAAGGAAAACAACAAATGCTTATTTATCTCGACCTAAAAGGAAGGCCTTCTTAAAAATTCTGGTATTTCATTATCATCTGAATAAACTTCTTCCCTACCCTCTCCAGTCATGAGTTTTATGGGACCTTTTTTTGGAGGGGACAGAAGTTTATTTGTTTGGTTGATGGGGATCAAACCCAGCCCTCATTTATGCTAGGCACATATACCATCTCTGATTTATATTCCCAGCTTCTTCTTCACAAGTTTTAAAATATTGATCATATTCCCTAAACCTTTGTAGTTATGTAGCTTTAAATTTTTAAATATGTCTCTTCAGATGACAGCCTTTTACCTTTTCCTTCAAAGATATTGCTTAGATCATCTTAACTCTGAACATATTCAAGTAATACTTTATCAGAACTACTCAGATCAGTATTCAGTTTGCAGGCAAGCCAGACATAAAGTTAATGAGACCCCATCTCAACCAACAAGCTGGTCATGGTATTTTACCCAGCCATGCAAGAAGCATAGGTTGCAGGATCGCAGACTGAGACTACCATTGGGGTGGGGGGGGGGGGAAACAAGACTCTAAAAATAACTAAAGCTAAAAATGGCTGGGGGTATGGCTCATGTAGTAGAGCACCTGCTTAGCAAGCATAAGATTCAGAGTTGAAGCCCCAGTACTGAAAAATAAAACTTACACAGACCATGATGCCTTACATATGATTGATACACTATTAACCTTTGTTGACTCAATGAACAGTCTTTCAGGGTTCAAATCTTTCTGATGGTGGCTGACATGTCAGCAGTATCATCTACAATAGTTATCTTTCATTGACTCCATCTTTTATAAACCTCCCTTTACCCTTGAAGAGCCATCTTGTTATAAATGAGGGAATGATTCAAGGTTGTAAATCTAATAAATAGAATCCGAATTTAAGCCCAAACAACTAATATGGAATTTCACACTCAGGAAAAGCATCAAGTCAGGCACCAGTGACTCACGCCTGTAATCCTAGCTATTCAGGAGGCTGAGATCGCGGTTCAAAGCCAGCCCAGGCAGGAAAGTCTGTGAGACTCTTATCTCCAATTACCACCAGAAAACTGGAAGTGACACTGCAGCTCAAGTAGTAGAGTGCTAGCCTTGAGCTGAAGAGCTGAGGGATAGTGCTCAGGCCCAGAGTTCAAGCCCCACAACCAACAAAAAAGAAGAAGGAGGGTGGGGAATGAGGAGGAGGAGGAGAAGGAAGAGGAAGAGGAGGAGGACCACCAAATGTAGACCTAGAGTTTAACAAGTTGTAACTTTAACTCCTCATACACTCACCACCCAGGGCTGCCAGCCTATACATTTTCCCATCTCATACCACTGCTTTGCCACCTCGGCATCAATCATTAAGCTCCTCTGCTTTACTTCATAGTTTTGCTTCCTATGCACAAATCCCACACAGTATAGTTTAGCTTTTCCATGTGTTTTATTGCCTGTAGTACTGGATCAAACCACAAGCTTCATGCATACTAGATAAGTGCTCTTTCACTAAGCCCACACCCTAACCCCTGCCCATTTAAAAAATACTTTGCAAATATATCAAGTATGTTCATCTTGTGCCTGTCCTTTTATGATCAGTTCTGTGTGCAAGAGTCACCCATGTTGTAATGCCATTGCTCTCTCATTTTGCTGTACAGTATACTATTCTATTGTAGGAAAATATACATTATTTATATACTTTCCCTGTGTTTTGTGGACATTGTACAGGCTTCCCACTTTGTGATATAATAAAGTAGAGCCTTACTAGGCTGGATGTCACTCTGCCAACACTGAGACTTTGTATTGGATCTTCTTCTTGCTGATGAATATACTCTGGAAGCACACATCACCAGCCATAACAGTGTTTACACCAGTGCTGCAGTATTTGATCATTACAGCATTACCAAGATACTGAGTATTGGCTCCATCACTAACAACCAGAGACTCAAGCCTTGGCCTGTCTTACTCTGTGGAGTCAGTAGGCAATATATTGTGAAAGGATTTTGAATCCTCTCTATTTACAATAAGAAGTTCAGGTTTCATCATCTTGAGCCAATCCAGTGCTTCAAAATTCCAACACTTACCTATCTTTACTCACTAATGATAGGAAACATTTTGCTCCTTCTTTTCTACATACATTCACTTCTGTTCTATATAATAAAGTGGTCAATTTTACATGTCGGTTAACATTTTTGAAGATGACATTTCACTGAGTAAGAGAAAACATTAATGCAATGTGAGAAAGTGAGCTGAACACTGGACACTCAAACAGCTTTTACCCAAGCAGCTTTCTATCCATGCCTTGGAACTGAGTATAAGAGCACATTTTTCAGATAT